CGAGGAAGCAACAGCAGTTGTTTTGCATGAAGGTCCGTTGCATATCGTAACTAATAAATGGAGCATTTTGGTTTTATATATTATACTAATGAACAGTACGTTAATGCACACCGATAGCGTCTATTTTTCTTTTGTTCATTGATTTTATGTATACCGTTGTACCTTTCACTTTCCGGCAGGGAGCAGCAAGTTCAGGAAGTTATTTGAACATGTCGGTACTCCTTCAGTCGAAGAGTTGTCCTGCTAAATTCTTAACGAGCGAAGGCAAAGTTATTCCTCTCGCAATGAACGGATTCAGTTACCAACTTATCAGTCAACCAGGAAAAAAGAAATCCATGATTCCAGCAATCAAGATTACAAATGGTGAGTTCCATGTTGCATGCTGGAATGTTCGTTCGTTTTCTGGCAAACGTAAGTTAGACGATGTCTACTATATGGCCCGTAGGTACAAACTCGATGTACCAGCGGTCACGGTAATTCGTCTCTCGGGGAAAGGGAATCTACGAAAGAACCAGCTTAGAATGGTAGTCAATCGACTAACCGAAGTTTCCTTCTTTCCTCCAAACTGTTACGCGCTCTTAATTTGCAATTCTAGTCCATTTTGATAAATAGAACTAATTCAACTCGCTTGTTATGGATATGAGGTCTTCACATGGGTCGTTTAGTGCTTTTTTGAATCCAGTCTAATGTCTCTCTGGTCCAGCGATGGTCATTCTTCTAGAAACTATTTCTTTCTAGAAATGACATCGCAGACATCTGTATGTGAGCTTTCTCATTCCTCAATCTACTGATTCCTCCTTATTATTACAAACTTGTACTTCCTATGCTATAAGGCATCTTCTAGAGTTTGTATGCACTTTTCACGTTGAAGATACAAGTTTTTCATTCATAGATTAGCACAGGTCGATATCTCGCTTCAAAAACAGTTTTCAAGCACAAGAGCAGTTTCCAAAATAAGACCATTCAATCCAAAGAAGTTCCACGCGATTTTGACTTTTTACTGATTCAATAGATTTGATTCCATATTGAAAAACCCAGTTGAATCGGAAAGATAGAATGTTACACCTCTTTAAGACTGAATTTACTGACTTCAGCAGATTTCTGGGTGACACGTATACCACACAATGATATCCTTTATTTACCTTAGAAAAACGAGAGACAAATGAATCTCACCAGGAATGATCTAGCTTGCCATCTTTCGACTTTCTTCCATCAATTGGGCTATTCCTCAAATACGAATGATGACATTCAGCAATTCTTCTCGATGTCTTCACAGTTAATTTACCATGCGTCTTCTTCATTATGCGAAATACTTAATTTTTGAATGCCATTCTATCATTTATTTTCAACAGAATTTTAAATGTTCAACAACGGGACTTCTTGAAGATCTTGTTCAAGCGGCAAACATTAGACTGAAAATGTTCCTTCAAAACAAAAGAGTACTAACGCATAGACAGGCTGCGTTATGCCTTTTAAGTCGGTCACTTAAAACTTCGTGACGGAGCTTCAGAACTTTAAACAGTGATCTCCTCATTACTTCTTCTTATCAGACATTTTTGATTTCTATCGTTGTCCGTTCTTCGTGACGCTTATCACGGATCAACAGAGAATGACCAAATATGATATCCATAAATGAGATTAAAAACAGGCAAATCAGTCTGATCCATTTGAATTAGACAAAGTGACCTCTATTAAAGTTTTGATGATTTCTATTCTTTATTTGGATTAAGAATATATATTCTAATGAA